AATATTTGCGTTTTAGTTATATTTGTGGAGGGCTAGAAAACCGAGCAAATAGCTTTATATTTTGGTACGTTCCTCCTGCTGAGCGAGATTTGGTGCAGCTGAGATGTATCTCATCGTAACTGGCCAACCAAAAACACTGCACATTCTGAATTAGTTGGCTTATGTGGAAAATTGGGGTACTTCATACTTGTTTTTATTCCTTTGTTTATTTTAAAGTATTAACAGCACTTCTCAAAGCACGGGCAAAGCTAAATGTGATCACAAGCACAATGAGATGTGCTTGGAACGAATTACTTTCAGAAAACTGATAACAACATCATAGTCTTATTAACTGGCACTTCCTCCATGGCAAAAGCAAGCACCACGAGTCTTTTATTATCCCACTGACATCTTTTCAATTACGATTCTGTTTCTCATAATAAATTGGGAATCCTTTTTTTCTTATCTCCTGCTTTTCTACAAGGTAGTTTACGATTTATTGGCTCACTAAAGATCATCTATTTTTATTTCAGATTTTTGCTGAGTTTAATCGCATCACAAGCATCGATGCCGAGCAACTCTCTTTTTAAATTGTCTCAGAAAACCTGGCGACCGCCCTTGAACTGACAGAGGGCAAGACAAAGCCGGACATTTTCTACCAGACTGTTGAAAGCATGGATGATTTTAAAGAATCGCAGAAACAAGGTACACCTGCTTTACAATTTAGCCTTCATTGACTGTTAGCGGAAGTCCCAATCCAGCTAGCTTTCTATTGCAACCGAATTGGTGCCGACTCAGTTCATGTGATAGGTGGGTGCAAACTATGTAAATTAAATTCGAGATATCTAACAGTTATCTTTACGGCATCTGAAATTCCAAATGCTTCTGTACATTAATTTTAAATTGTGAGTGACATGTGATGAGTAACATTAAAAAAATGGGGGAATGGCTGTATTTAAAAAGAAACATAAATTTGCATTACTGATGTGATGCTTAAATAGAGCCTTCATATTTTGTGTTGAATTGCCGTGACACTTGGCACTGAGCAAAATTGAAAAGATTAGTTTAAAAAAACAATCTACTAGCATGGGTGATTATTCTGTTATTAACTGTGTGCATATGAGGAAACAAAATCAGGCCCTTATTTCTCACCTGGTAGGATTTGACTGCATGGTATTACTGTTTCACCCTATGTCCGGATGCAGCGGATGCTAAGAGCAATCCCATTTAATCGTGCTCTTTGAACATAGCACATAACACATGTCGCCGCGCCCACTCTCTAAGGACACATGACACCCGCACAGCTTTGGATTTCCTCTGATGGCTCGCAGCATCCGCTGCGCCCTGACTAAGGTGATACAGAGTATAGTGTAGATGGTGGTTGGATAAAAAAATTCTGAAGTGTCTGTGCTATGTGGTATGAAAATAGTTTAAAGGGATACTTAAGGAAATTTGAAATATACCCGTCCTGTTCAGATATAGGCTGATTATGATCAACAATATCCGTAAATGACACTCTCACGTTTGTATTTTGAGCCTGAAGGCTGAATTTTTTGTTATAAACGAAATACCTTTCTGGCTTTAATGCGAGGCATTAGATGCATCCGTGTTAAGAGCCTTTTCACATACATCAACACCATCATTTCGATATCGCAGTGCTCCCGAAACTTACTGTTGACCGGAGATGGTCCATCTTTTGCGTTGTTTGTGCTACTCCTTTGCTCACCAGTCGAACAACGTGGTGAAGTTTGGGTACCCGATGATGACCTAGCCTGGAGAGGATATTCCAGCTGCTCCAATGACCAATTTAGCTTTGATTTGCCAAGAACAATATTAGGGTAACTGGTTTGGGGTGTTAGGTTTAGGGAGTATATACTGAACCTGTTTCAGGTAGTCTATCAGTTACCTGTATCTGCTTATCATCAGTTACTTGTATCTACTCTAAGGGCAGGCCTCTCTTTTTGTTAGAAAGCCTTCGATTTTATGATTTGTTTTAATTCCCAACCTTTGTTTCAGACGTGCCCCGCAATCTATTCCATCGAAGTGTGTCCCAGGACCCCAACAGAGCGCTGCAGTGTGCTTTTTGTAAATCTGGCTTATGAGACAGAGGGCCCTCTGGAAGCTGTGGCACTTCGTTTCTGCCTGGCATGGGTTTTCGACGTTCAGTACTTCGTTAAATATTTTTGCACATTTGTTTGTTTAGAGAGACTTGTAGGTCTCAAACATTCAAAGCTGGGCTGCATGGGCACAAGGCTGCTGACCAGGCTAAATTAAAAAAAAAAGTTTTTTTCCACACATGTTGTTAAAAGCATGTTGTTCTGGGCTTGTGTAATGCATTGAAGGAATGCATTCGCATTTAAGTGAACATTATTTTTACTTTCTTGTGCACATGCATTCCTGAAGGTCTAAAACCCATAGCAAATGTTTTGTGCTGTTTTTTTTTTTTTTTTTTATAAATATAGGGTGACCCAAGTCACCGGGCTCGATCAAAAATGGACCGTAAAAATCGTCGCCTTCACGTCGTAGACCATGGCAAGTTTGTTCGCCCTATTATTTACAGAAAAGGAGCTACGCTTTGTAATTAAAAAAACGACCTGTGAAATACACCTATGACGAAAAATTTAGATCGCTACGTACAGGCGTCAATTTTTACGGTCCATTTTAGGTCGAGCCTGGGGACTTGAGTCATCTTATATACTAGTAATTTCTTGAGCAGATATGTTCCTACAGGCCAAAAACCTTTCCCGGGTCTTTTTTTTTTAATTTATAAATATACTAGTAATTTTACTGCCTCACATTTTATGATTGGGAGCTTTGTTTACTAAGGTGTTTGATTTTTTATAGTCATTTTCATTAAAAAAGGGAACAAACGACATTAAAAAGAGCTGTCTCTTGTTAGCTTTTTTTCTCTACAAGTTTTCTTATTTTTGAACGGATATTAGGGTGTCTACAATATGTTTTAGTGCTGTGAAACGAGCCAGAACAATCAGATCCTACATGTAGTAAGCTCAATTAAGATTTAACCAAATGTGAATTTTTCCTGCAGAAATTTCAAAGCTTAGCTCCCTTCACATGAATAATAAGACCAACAAACTGGCCAGTGTCAATAGCAGTCATGTCTGCAGATGATAGAGTTAGCGATGGTTGTAACTCCCGGTAGGCACAACTAGCAGATGAGATCGCCTTCTGCTTCAATTGCTTAGAACAAAATGACGTCGCAGTTTTCAAGCATTGCTAACGCTGCAAGCATGTCCACCGTAGGCCCTGGCAAGTTCGTCTGATTTTTCACAGGAAGGAGGCGAAATTCCTTACAATTTCAACAGGTAACATGCGCATTCAGTGAATGCTTTAACTTTTAATGTGCAGGCACCGATTTTTCGGGCTCGTTCAGCAGCACTAAGAACCATTGTAGATTCCTATATATATGCTAGTCATGTAAAATTTCGGCACGTTCTTCAGTGCCAAGATGGCAGTATTTTCTTGTATACTTTCTTGTGATGTGCAATTGTTTTCATTTACAGTGTTGTGTAGTTCTAGAATAAATATATTTCCACAATGAAAGTGCTAGTTTTTTTTTTTTCTACAGATAGCTGATGCAACGTGTTTCGTAAAATGGTGATGTTAGCTGTAAAAAAACCTGCCTGAAAGTTCTACGAGTGTTGTCCGCATATCCAGTCTTCGCAGCTTCTTTCACAACAAAGGCTTGCTTTTTCCAAATAAAGGTGTGCGACTTTTCATATGTACTGCAATATTTAGCTGTGAATGGGAGTGAAAGGTCTGAGGTATTGAATACCTCCCTGCTCTGAAAAGACACTTTGTGCAACTTTTCAGAAGATATACCTTTTAAAACAAGTTGCACAATCTGCCTTTTCTGAATAGGAAGCTGTTCAATGCCGCAAACCTTTCACTCCTATTCACAGCTAAAGGGTCTCATTACTAGTAATTTCGGCTCTAAAAGTGTCAAAATTCGTTCACAAAAGGACGAAAATTACCCTCTCAATACTATAAAATTAATCCCTAAAAGGGTCAAAATTGATCCTCAAAGGGACGAAAGTTACTCCCCCGTCACTATAAATATCATCCCTTTAAGTGGCAAAATTGATCCCCAAAGGGACGAACTTTAGTCCCCAATAAAAAAAAGTTAGTCCCCCAATCACCACTGTTGATCCCCAAAGGGATCAAAGTTACTCCCCCAATTATAAACACGACGGCGCTCAAGGGACCATAATTAATCCCCTGAAGAGTTAAGCTTAGTCCCTGATGCCCTGCTGTAGGGATCAAAAGCACTCCTCTTAACGGTTCAAAACTTTGATCTGCAGGGATCAATGGAAAGGGACTAAAAGAAAAGGGAGGGACTAAACCGGGGTTTTGCCGTTTTTGGGGGATCACTCTCAGTGACATCGATTTAGTCCCCAAAAAGGACGAAGTACTACTCCTTTTTTTTAAGAGTGTGATTAAGCTTGTTCCCTCGTGATAAGACATCACGTGACATAGCTGACATCGCCGCTCCCGGCGTGAAACATACCTCCCACTCCCGAATATATTTAAACTTGTCTCGATCATTCCGATAAACCCAGAGAGTACATGTACAGTACATGAGCGTGTCGTGCGTTCCAAGGCTGTCTGTAACCAAGCAAAGTAAATAATAACGCAGGTATAATGCTCGCACGACGAATTATATTCTCCCCGGCTTTATCAGATTGATGAAATCAAAAATCATTTTTTATTGATATTTTAACTTCAATTACCGAAGAAGACAGGGTGAGCGTTTCCGCACAGTTCGCGGGGAGTCATTTCTTGTAAGGTCCATACCTACGAGGCACAGAGTGAAGATGATCACGCCACTGAAGCAACATTGACTGAGCACGATGCTTGACGAGCTGAAAAACAGGCTGTATGTTGGTGCCCTTCGAGTGACTTTTATTTGCTAGGATGCCGATTGCGGTGGCCGTTAACTATAGGTGACTTGGCGCGCGAGGAAGAGGCATTTCAGTCTGGCCGTGTTCTCTATCGTACTGCAGGGAGCGGAGCAAAACAGTCCAAAGGCCTCTTCGAGTGCTCTTCCAGATGCCTGGATCGCGGCCATTGCAATCAACGCGGTGCTGGTGTTCCTGTTTCTCCTTTTCGTCGTGTACTGCTACCTTCGCAGTCGAAAGAGTAAGGCAGTCACTTTTTGGAACATTCATTGTGTCTCTCTCCGAGGTTTCACTGATTTGAGAGGAACAGCCACCGGGTTAGATTTCGCTTGTTCCCCTGCTGCATCACGCGTGAGTCGGATGAGATAACCTGGTCTTTGATGGCAACGATGCGCCACTCTGCCGTATGACGTGCTGCTGTGCGACATGGGGGAGAAGGCGTTACGTGGGTCGCAGGCGCACTGCACATTCAGATATCGTGAGTTGAAATACCACTTCGCCCCTGATAACCGCAAGGTTTTTGTTGGGGGTTTCCATGTCAGTTGGTACAAAGATGATCCTGGTCGTATTTTGTATATTTCTGTAAAACATATACTAGATGAAAGTCGTTGTCTATGGGAGAAGCACCTATATACATACTACTGAAACACCCTAGTATGATACTAGGGTGTTTCACGAAACGCGGGCCAAATCATTCCTGTGAAAAGAACGCATCGCAAAAAAAAAAAAAGAAGGTAGATGCAATATTGGGGCCCCTGCCGAAGGGCAAATTAAAAAAAAAAAAGTGTTTGATATAATTAGACTCATAATTACTTTTAGTGATTAACTTTATTGTTATTAAATGTAAAGTTATAATTTCAATTAGAACCACAAAAACCATTAAATCCACCCGCATTAAAGAGATATAAGGCATGCAAAAACTTTTACGGAACTCCGAAAAAAAAAAAACTAAATTTAAACGTGTTTTTACTTTTTTTTCGTTTTGATTTGGGGGGGGGGGGGGGGTGGAGGCAACGCAAGGAAACACAAATATGAAGTTAAATTAGGGACAGCATAACTTTTGACACCCTACTATAGAGCAGCACCGCTGTGCATAATTTCTCGGTTCTAGAAAATGTGTCTTCCGAGCCGACGTCTTGCGGCAAATCTCCTATCATAGAGGTCTCAAACACGCAGCCCCCGGGCAGCATGCCGCCCGAGACTTTCTGGAACGCGGCCCACAAGCATCCCGAGGCTACAAGCCCCAGTTCTCAGGCCTCGAGCACCACATGCGCCAAAAATAATAGTTTTATATCGTCATTTTCCTTCTAAAGGAAGCTGTGTTCAGATAGCGTGCTTACACATTTTTTACTCTTATATTTTATTTTAGATGAAGTATTGCGTCGACTAAATATTTGCTTCTCAGCCCTTTCTTATGCAAATCAACGGGAATGGCAATCTCACTACTAGGCTTCAAAAAGTGCGAGCTCTTTGCTCAAGGAGGCACCTCGGCTGCACGAACTCTCTCGCAGTAGGAGCAACTGCCATAGGTAAAGCTAGGAGCTGTCAGCAAATGCCTTTAAAATACGAGTATTTCTTATAATTTTGCCGTAAACATCGCCAGGAAATCAAAAGATGCCAGATGAAGAGGTACTTTTTCTATGCCCGTTGAGCCAAGTGAATTGTGCGACAGGGTAAGGACGGTCGGTGCTTGCTCTCGTTCTATTGAAAACTGTTAGTACGTTGGTGTGGTGGTGTTTTAAATCGTATAATACCAGGTAAGAGTCCCAAGTAGTCGTATATTCGCATGAAAGTTTAAAAAATCGCAAAACGGTGGGCTTACAAAAAATGACCGCATCTCCACGTGGTGAATGATGTTGATTGGGGCGAAGCTCTGATGGTGCTGATGATACTGATTTTGTTCATAGGTAGCCCCTCCTGTATAGACGTTGAGCGGCTGCATGCAACGTTTCATCTATGACATCCCCAGCTCTTGAGTTACTACCACATCTCAGAGCCCCCTACTCGTCCCGCAGTCGTGGCCGAGTGGTTAAGGCGATGGACTAGAAATCCGTTGGGGTCTCCCCGCACAGGTTCGAATCCTTTCGACTGCGCAAACATTTTTCTTCTTTTTAAGAAGACAGATGGGATGGCAATCGATGTGAGCACGGACGCCGGACGGACAACGCTAGAACCTAAGGAGCTTTGCCCCTAAAAGCAGAATGCACAAGGATACTTCTCTAGAGAATCGCTGGGGTATCCCTTCGACAGTCGGCTGCTTTGCAACGTGAAAAACCACCACGCAGGTGCCAAGGACAGGCATTTGACCGAGTCCGGCGGGAGCGACGAACTGCGGCCCGTCGCCACTCAGCTGGACCGGGCGACCACGCAGCTCCCGGCGCACGAGGGAGCGCCGCACAGAGCCATCCGGACGGCGAGCCCGGACAACGGACCGACCCAGCCAAGCCCAGCTTGGTCAGGCGCACTGGAGACTGGCCCTGCGCGGGGCACCAGGTGACACTCGCCTCATTCTCCTTATTTCACCTGAGGCGGACCTAAAGCCTGAAACACCCGTGAGCGAAAATCGCGTGCATCGGGCCGCCAAGGGCCACATCATAGCGTTATTATATGGTTCTTGCTCCAGTTGCGTTTGACTGCGTTAAGACTGCTTGCGTCGAGCTGTTGCTATGACGACCTTTACGACGGTCCAATGGAGAGCTGCTGTGCTGCACGACGCAACTCAGGACGAGCACTTATTGATTCATGCAGCACTGCATGCGCTAGTTGCGAGATCAAATCCAGCACTTTGAGGAGCGCAAGTTCGTCTGCTTCTTGCATAGAGGTTGCGATGATGTCAGAACGCCGAACACGTATTGGCTAATTGAAAAAAAAAAATAGTGGGTAGATCTTGAGGAATCTAGCATTTGAGGTCTACCCACTATCCTTTCAATCAAAGCCATTTAAAACTCGATGTCGTTCTCACATCTCCGTAACCCCTGCACTGCGCAAGCAGCAGGCGATTTGCTCTCCGCATACGAAATGACAGTGTGTTTTTTCGTCGGTCGCAATCGGTTGACACACTCAAGCGCAAATGTGTGAATCAGCTTTTATAATGCAGCGCAGTGGACGCTACAAGCCATCTTAGCTAGGGATGTCGCGAACCACCCAGGTTCGAATACGAAAGATTGCGATATTTTCGACCGTACCGAAGTTCGAATTCGAAAAGTTCGCAACTTGCGAACACCGCAGAGCTTCGAATTCGAGAAGTTCGAAGCTGTCACGGTTTCTAAAAGTTGGGTTTGATTATTTCGAATATTTTTTTTTACTTGAGGTTCGAGAAAATCGAAGATTTCGAACTTTCCTAACTTGAAATTCGGGAGATTCGAACATTTTTAATTTCTTGGGTTCTGAAGTTCGAAAAATTCAAATATTTCGATTTATTTAAATCTGAAGTTTGAAAAATCGAAGATTTCGAATTTCTTTGGACCTGAAATTTGAAAAATTCGAACGTTTTCGCAAAATCGAAGATTTCGAATTTCTTTCTACAAAAAGGTCGAAAAGTTCGAAAGTTCGATTCTTTTGTAGGGATTAATTAAAAAAAACAAAAAAAAAAAAAAAAAAAAAACTTGGAAGATTTCACATTTCTTTTAAGTACAAGTGCGCAAAGTTCGAAGTCCGGTTTTCATATTCCTTCACAGTTTCAGTTTCAAATAACGTTTTCACGGATCATTGGTTTTCACAAAATCAGATTTAGAAAAGTTCGGCTGTGACATTTAGACTGCGCGAAGTTGGTCAGGTAATTAAATGAGACGACGAGTGTCCCGGATGTGCTGGAATATTTGCCAGTGCAGAGTGACGGTGTGACCATAGATCTGTAATTACGACCGCCAGCCCCGGGGGCGGGGGAAGGGTTTACGTGCATCACGCAGTAGTCATCACACGAACGCACTGTTTTACGATAGTATCGATACTCATCCAGTTCGAAACGGCTAGGGGCGAGCAGGTGGTTGAGGCTCAGAAAAACCTTGAAGCGATCTGGCAAACCGCCTCCCTACCCCCTTGCACGCTGATAGTAATCCGATCGAACGCCGCCCGAGTGTTTGTAATAGCTTTGGAGGTTTCTTTTCCGGGACGGAAGAAACGCCGAGCAAAAAAGCACAGAAGCCGACACAACTCGAGGTCGAGGAGCGTTCTACCAAACCAGTGGCGCCGGAAGAGGAAAAAGAAAAGTGGGGAGTTGGGGGGGGGGGGGGGGGGGGGGGGGGATCTCCAGCTTCCCCCCCCCCCCCCCCCCCCTTTTCCAGATATTTCGGACGGTCTGTTAAAGAAAACAATACAACAATACAGGGAAAGAGGGCGTGGTCGAGCTTATTTTAATTTGAAATTATTTATGCATATGTTAGCCACTGTCGGTCTTCACTGCATAAAAGATCGCGTAGGCGGTCATTGTTTCAAACTCGTTGTCGGAAGGCATCACTCGTCACATGCTTAGTACTTTGGAAGTTCAAAGCTGTGTCTTTTCAACCTAAATAACTGTGCCATTGATAAAAACAAAACAAAAAAACAACGCTGTAAGTGTTGCATTCTTGCATATTTAGAGGCTCAGAATTTCGAAACAAGTTTCTCCTCCCAAAATGTGTACAAGCTTCCAAATACGTAAAAAAAAAAAAAAAAAAAAAAAAAATGTTTTTTTTTTTTTTTTTACGATGTGCTGAATTTGGACAATATTAGAAATCTTCACCCATAAGTTAATTTATTCCTCAACGTGAAAAAAAAAATTATGTATTCTGCAGATGGCAATGATATGTGCTGTCTGTGGTGTTAATTTAAATGCGATACCCCAAACAATTTCGACGAAAAAAAAAAATACCAAGTTTAGGGCATAATTGCCCGTAGATACATGATTGGACATTTCTTCGAAACTCATCTTGAATAACAATAATCATATCTTAAGACGACACTTACCTAGGCTATACATAGATCATTGTTACAAATTTTAACATATATACCATAAATAGCTTCGGCTATAGCGCGCTTCAAAAACCCGTCGTCCTTCCTTCGGGAATTTATTTCTGTAAAACTAAGGATGCCAGAAAAATGAAACAAAAGGCACTGTCTTTCGCAAGGAATGCGGCACCGCATGTAAAAATTCGAGAAAAAAAATTACTAAATACCACTGCTTGAATCCAAATGAAACCGCCCGCCGGCGAAGTTCGACGAACTTCGAACTTTTACCCTAAAAGGTTGAAGTTCTTCAAACTTTTGACATTTCAGGATTCGAAAGCTCGAAAATTTTCGAATTCTCTAGGTAAATAAGTTCGCGGCATCCCTAATCTTAGCCACTCCTGTACTGCAGGTGTATTTCGTGAGCTCGAGCCCCGTGCTGCGCTGCGGCCCACAGGAAGGACACGCGTGCTTTGGTGGTTCGTAGCCTCCGCTGCGGTCTATCGAAAGGGTCTTGCAAATGGAGGAGCAAAAGATTCTTATTCAGAACCTTTCGGTTCCTCCATTTGCGAGACCCTTTCCGGTTTCGCAGTTCAGCGAGCGTTGTTGATTTCCTGAGGGAGGGGAACCCGGGACAATTTCGTTTCAAAATGCCTGTGGAGTGAGCGTTGACAGTTTTTTTAGAGGTGCTGTGTTTTACCTCAAGTCAACGTACGCTTTCTACGACGGTTCCCATTTTTTGAAGAAGCAGGGAGTCTGTATTGGGTCTGTATAGCATTGCACCTGTACTGAGCGACATTTTTCTTTCAAGTTGCGATAGACGCATTGCAAGCGATCTTGGTGGTGATGGGATCCGAGTGATTAGGTACGTCGCCCGGATCCCATCACCTTTTTTTCCGGTTGTTGTTCCGGAAAAAAAGTTGTGTTCAGAGTAGAGGGTTTTTATTGGGAGTATGTTAGAGGTGTTTAAATCGCATGCTTGTGGGTTGAACTTCATGAGACCCAGTAGTTGATTGCAGTTTTTCGATATCAAACGCCACTTTTTGGATGGACATCTGTGCTGGGGACATAGCCCTAAGAGCGAAAAAAAGTGTTCTCCTTTTTGACTCTAGCCATTCTAAACTGGTGAAGGGGGGATTGCGGCGGTGGGTTACCTTCGGGAGGCACTGGTTAAGTCATGTTCATACCGTATGCCTACTAGTTTTGTCAATCAAGCTACTGGGCTTCAGGACGGTGGCAACCCAGGTGGCTTGCTGACGGGTGTGGCGGAAGGCCTGGCAAGAGGGCTTCGCGACCCGTGCAAGGTTGCCAGGGAAAGGTCAAAAAGGAGACCTATGATTTTACTTTATGTGCATAGGTAGTGCCACTAAATAAGCTACGCTTCAGAGTAACGACACTTGGCCATATTGCGTCTTAAAATCATGGTTGCCACTTATCTGAAGCTTTATCTGAAATCAAAGGAAACGATTTTCCGCCCTCCACAAATGTTTAAACAGTTCGCGACAGAGCAAGGCAATATTACATATGCTTCCTAACACCGACTCTAATGCTGAGGAAGTCGCACTTTTGAATCATGACGATCGGCAGTTGAGTCTGCTCTGCATACGAGCCGAAATGGCGGCGCCCACAACAATATATGGGAAAGGAGTGCCGATACTCTAAGCGCAGCTCATTTTGTGGCTCTATGCATAGGGTCTCGCACAACCTAAAAAAAAGGTAGCGCATGCGTCATGGGGTGCCAGTGGTCTTTTCGGCGCCTTCGAAGTTAAGGCGTTTTTGCGCTAAAGTCGACAGGAGTAGGGTTAATAGTCTCGTATGTGAAAAAAAACAAAAAAAAAAACACAGGCAATGTACGTGCTGTGCGCTGTCGGTGTAGTTCACATAATTAAATTGTCCTGTGGCACAATGTTTACATCGAACAAACCGGCAGATGTGTAAACGAGAGGTTAGGAGAGCATGCTCTATCGGTCAGATCATCGCCAGCAGGCAACTTGGCCGTACACTGTGATAGGTGCGGCTGCATACCCATTCTTGATAAAAACAAGTATCTTAGGACAACACAGTCAACAGATGACTAAATAAATTTTAGAGGCCTTCTATACTCGAAGCAAAAAGACAGGTGCGTCAGTTCGCCTTCTATCGCATAATTTGACAAAGAGTTGGCATTCTTGAGCAGGTTTGACATGTACGGGGGGCGGCGACTTGATGTATTTTGATAATCAATGATGCTTGTGGATTTGCGTTTTCTTCCAATAAATTAGTTGAGAGTCAGTGCTTTGTTTGTACGCTTCGTCTTATTGACGCTGGTTTACTTTTTCGCTATCGTAAGCTGAAACGGAGTATACCACTGGCTCCGAAGTGCTTCCCCTCAGCGCATACGCGATGAGGAAAAATCTTCGCCCTATGTAGAGCGACGAATGGGACCCGAGATGGTCATGGAGATTGTGGCTTACAAAATGCCCCAGTCACTCAGTGCCCTAGTACAAACGGCATTTCTAAGTGGAGTTTTTATGCGAAAGCATTAACTGCTTCATGGAGCGAAGCCCGGCGTCGTCTATAGCAGCGAAACGGCACTTAAATTCCCACTAGCTGCGACGTGTCATGTGGCCCCAAAGCAACGGCGTCATCGTTGCTAAGGAACCAGCCGAACTGCTGGCGGCGCAGCGGGAGGAGGGGACGCGGGCCTAACGTTTCTCTTTGAGATGCACGTGTTGAGGTCTAACGTCAACTGGTATACCGCAGCTAGGGCGATGGACCGCCCGACTCCCTGCCGGCGCTGAGGCCGCTTCTGCTCCTCTCGGCGCCTAGAATGCTTTCGCATTCACAACTCATAAGAAGTGCTTAGGTGTCCTCGGAATTTCTTTTAAGATAAGGGTGAGAGCATCATCTCATTATCATCGGAGAGTTTGAGGTGTCAATATCACCGGACAAAGACAGCCAGAAACACAGGAGCATCGAAAGCAGCTCAAACCAGTCACGCCGTTCTTAAATCAGAGCAAGTCATTCCATGCCAAACGACCCAGACCTCGGGTGGACCGTGGTGGGCGATATAAAACTTCGATCGAGCAGACAATTGGGTCAGATGGAATGCGTGATATTTTCGGTCTAAAACAATGCACACATCACGACACTGTTAGCGCGAACACGACATCGGCGCATTTTCGCAATTTACTTCTAAATAGTATTAGCGAGCACGAAATTTCATCGCTTACATTATAGAACTAAATGAGCTCTTTCCGTAGCAATAATAACTTGGATGGCATGCATCTCTTGGTTTCAGAGAGAAAAACTGGAAAAACCGGCGATTGCTTGTTCGCGCTAACAGTGTCGCGTTCTGTACACTTCATTGGTGATGGGAAAGTAGTATTCTCTGTATATTTTCGCTATTAAATTGTGTTCTTTTTATAGCAAAACCTTGATTTTCGGAAAAAAAAAATACAGGCCCCAGAGGGTAAGAGGCACTATTTTCTCGATAAACTTTTTGAAATCGCCTATCAATTAAGCGCTGCTTTTTAATATGTCAAAGGGTAAGTATAAATGCCCAAATAATGCCTGTCATGAATTTCTAAGCGTTTCCACCACGGCTTCGACATTAAAAACGGCTTAGATCAATTATTTTTGTAATTTATTTTGTAGCAATGCCCTCGGCTTTGCTCACAATTTATTTACATTATTTAGAAGGAGAATGGAAGGGACTGCGTAGCTGCTGTTCGGGACACCCATCGAGTTCGTGCTGGTGACCGGGAACGTCGTCTTTGTTCTTGCTGTTGCTGCCGCTACAACTACCCCCCCCCCCCCCCCCCCCCCCCCCCTCTGCGAGGAGGCCTAGGAGACGAGCGATTTGTTCTCCAGGCTCTGTTTAAAGTACACCCGCCGCACTGATTCAGCGCTATTTGTGCTAGGGTGCTTGATATAGGCAGGCTTAATTCTGTCGAGGGAGATGGTATAAGAAACTCCCCAAGGAGACGGTGTAAGAAACTCCCCAGCTGTGCTGCATCCAAGTTGCTCTTCAATGAAGTACGATCCCGAGCATGGTGACGGGTAATGTCCCGGTCCATTGCGCAGCTGTACCTTTGGTCTAGGGTGGTACAATGTCGTCAGGATGTGTTTTGTACCGAGGAGACGGGAAAGGTTTTGAAAAGGTATAGACTCAAATTGCCTTCCGCGGTCCGTTGTGATAGTCATTGGTACACCGAAACGACTAACCCATGTTGACGAAGGCTCGAGTTACAGTTTCGGCAGTTATAGACTTGATCGTTGTTTCCTCTGGCCACAGCGTGAAGCGGTCAACGCAGGTTGATATGTAGTTGTAGTCGTCGGCCGGCGGTAGGGGTTCTACTATGTCAAGGTGGATATTGGTGAAGCGACCGTCTGGAGGTGAAAACTTGTTGAGTGGTATAGACCACAGCCAGTGTAGACGTGTGTCGAGTGACTTTTGCGCGTTGGCATTGAATGCAAGCGCGCGACCATCTGCGGAAGTCGGCGTTCATCCTGGGCCATATGAATCGTGCGGAGATTAGGCATTGTGTGGCTCGAATTCCCGGGCGTGAGAGAGAATGCGACGCCTGGAAATGCCGGAACTTTTCGGGGACATATGGTCTAGGCACATCGCACACCAACGTTTTGGCGCAGTCCGGGATCTTCACGTCTTCAAGCTTGAGTGACGTCGCGGTTTTTCGCAGATGAAGGGTCGTGTCCATGCTCTGCTCTTTCGCCAGATCTTCGTAGTTCACAGCGCTTCGTTCTGTATTGGGCAGGAGATCGCTCTGACACGTTTGTTGTCCCCACACCTCGGTGTTTACTCAACACAAGGCCTGTGCACAGGCCCACAGGACTTATGGGCATGTCCATGTCATCTTCTTCAATAGAGCGCGGGGCACAGTGTAATGTAAGAAATACTAACAATAAACGAAGTGACGTTAAGTGACGGATCTATCCCGAAAACAGTCATCAGAGAATGCGAGCTTGACAAGTATTGGCTTGACCCACTTCGACTTTTGTGCTGAGCTGGGCACCGTGCACGTGCATGCTGCATTGTTCATGCAGGCCGGAGTGGTAACAAAAGAGCCCCTCCTCCCCTCACCGGAGAACACGAACTCCAGCCGAACGCTGACGCCGCGTTCGGTTATGTCGGCCGAGCGCTGAGTCATTGTATTTGTTGTCCCCATCCGTGTAGTTCTAAAGTCAACCGCTTGCGGCGTCACGGTCTGATCTCCTGCCCAATAGCATGTGTTCACACCAACGCGGGAGAGTGCGTCTGCCACTGTGCTTTATTTTCCAGGTACGAAGCGAATGTCCGTCGTGTACTTCATGATGTAACTCTTTTGACGGGTTTCTCTTCGCGTGTGGGCTGCGTGTGGGCTGAGAAATACCTTGCGAGAGTTACGTTGGCGCGCAGGCGTAGGTCGTAAGAACTAGTACGAGTTCGACGGATCCCGAACAACAGCTACGTAGCCTCTTTAATTCTCCTTGTAAATAATGTAAACAAAGTTGTGAGCAAAGCTAAGGGCATTGCTGCAGTTAGTGACCCGGATCTCCGAACAAGGCCACCTTCGCGTCTGGGGATTTCCCTTCACCGGTGAGTCAGAATTTAAACATCCGCTTTCATTCGAACGATGAGTCCCACCTAAGGCGTAGGGTCGTCATACGATCCCACAATACTGACAGTCGCGGCCACCAGCTTCAAGTTGCCGGAAGTTTGGGCGGCGGACTCAGAGCTATGGTTTCTCACCATCAAGTCAATATTTATAAAGAACAAAATAACATCGTCCTTGACGAAGTTTGGTCACGTCCGGGTCCCCACTTGTAGCAATGCCTTGGCTTTGCTTACAATTTATTTACATTATTTACGAAGAGAAGTAAAGGGGCTGCGTAGCTGCTGTTCGGGACCCTCCGAGCTTGTGCTGATTTTCTTTTCTCGACCGGGTACGTTGGCTTTGTTCTTGCTGTTGCTGCCGATACAATTTCTTTTGCAGCGTCAAAGACTCGAGGCATAACAATTATTTGTATTATTAGCACTTGAGAGGAATCTTATTTAAAACAAATTGTCTGTAAGATATATTGCATTTTGCTACAAAAAATGACAATAATAAAACACAAAAAATTTATCGCAAATCGCTAGGCAATTGTGTTGCATACGTGAAACGTTCTGGCATCACAAAAGTTTAGCTATACTCCGTGAGTTTTCAGACGCCAGACGCCTACAATCACGGCGCTCTTCATAAGATAGTTTAACGCCTACCATGTGTACACTTTATAGTTGTTCCTGGAGTGAAGCGATACCACCGTTAATCGGGCTGATAAACCTGGCGACCTTCCAGAGCCTCCCATATTCTCGAGCTCCTCTCCCTTAGTGCGCACAGCTGGTCGAGCTCCTCCTCGCCTACCCCTCTGGTCACATGACCTCCCCGTTAACCAATCAGCGTCGAGCAACTCACTCCTTGTATCTCACCCGTCAACCAATCAGCGTTGAGCCTCGCGGCCACGCTTTTATCCAGGCTTCACTTTTGGGCTTCACGAAATGCCGAACACCTAGCCAAAGAACGTTTCACGTTACTATACTGATTTTAAGTAAAATAAGAGATAATCGGTCTAAACTATTTACTTTATTTTTCTTCGTAGCTTACACATCACCTGCAAAGAGAAAACAGTGTTGTCAAAAAAACAATAAAAAATTTAAATAGCGAGTGAGTGAGTGAAAACATGTATTTATTTTTATCGAAGGATCGTCTGCCTTGGCCGAGTTATCCTGAGGCAAAACTATATCAGGAATGCTACTTTTCCGTCACCGATAATACACACAATTTGTTTCGACCGGGTCTGTGTCGGTCGATGTAGAGCCTGGGTCGTTTGGCGTTAATGATCCAGTCCACCCGTTTGCTTCGCAGGGAAGTTCGCAAGCGGTAACTATGTAGCGGGGACGGCTTGCTGCTTCACCGTTATCACATTCCTGGGCGCCTACGTTCCTGCAGAGCAGGTAGCAGAATGTATAGAGCGTCGAATGATACAAAATGTACGCAGTGACAAGAACCCAAACAGCAGGTTGGGGTCCTCGTCATTCGCTGGACGTGCTCCGAGCAGGCCGAGAGCCCAAAGAGCAGACTCTCCGCCTGCTCTGCGGGAATGTGCGCTCGCACGCAGTGGTAGAATGTATACCGTGTGCCAAACAATAAATATTGGTCCGCGGCATGCGTAAAGCCGCGGCCATATCTGCTAATACATCGTACAAAAGGCAGTCTGCAGTTACTGTCTGAGGTCTTCCTTGACTGATGGTTCACATTGGTCATACAAAAACTGCCTTTCTTCCAAGCATGTAGGAAGCAAGCTTTCTTCCAACATGCTTGAGTCCGCAGATAGAATTCCCTCATCATGTGTGCAGCGAACGCCGTGTCTTTTCGATCACGTATGAGCAGTCTGGCTACGGCTTAAGAGTGAATCGTTAGTTTTAGTGTGGCGCAAACAACGCATCGTGTTGCTAGCTCGTGCCGGCACTTGGAAATACGACTGGACACGCAGGGCCCGCTGTCGCTCTACTAAAGCTCTCATATGATTGTGGCTCGAAGGAACTGGAGCCCAGATAAAGAAAGCGGCACCATCGAGGGAGTTGAGGACGACTTTGAGCCTGAGCTCAGGAACCTGGAGCTGGATGAGTCGGAAGAGGAGCTACCCACGGAGCCCCTGCCAGCGATGGCGGGAGCCGACAACGAGAATGGCCGTGGTTCCGTCTACGACGTAGAGGAGCCCAGTCTGCCATCTAATACGTAAGGCTTGCTCTTCGCTTGCATTCGCTTCTGCGGGCGTCTTCCGCACGCGCTAGGTTACCACCGTATGCCTTGTTTTGCGTAGGCGGAAAGTTTTAAATTTCCCGAAGGAGGGGTAGGGGGCTCGGCGGGTAGCCGGCTCCTATGTTCCCTTGCCTTACCGACGCGTCGAGTCACTGAAGTGTGCGGTAACGAACATCATAAAAGCCTTCGTTGTAGGCAAGCATGCTATCCCTGGTAAAATAATCCTGTATATATCTATATTCCTACTATGGAATCTTGTATAAATTTTATGTGGTGTTACTGGATACATGATCCTTTATGGATATGTGGTACCCACACCCAGATACAGGGTCCTGTATATATCAGATTGTTTTTAGCCTCGCTAGCAGATGCGAGCAGCGCTCTGTCGACACCAGACGGCGCTTGCGGCGTATAGAGGACTGCTGAAATCGTGGTGGTACGACGCAGTACGCGCAGCCTACACGATTTCTTTAGACGTGCCGTTTTGTTTTTTTCGTCGCGCGTGGGGTTATAGCACCGGGTGTACAAGAACTATTCATCTGGACGGCATAGCAGTCCCCGCGAACTGCCCGCGGTGCGGCGCCCCAGTCGGCATATAATGGCCGCGCGCCAAAACGTTGAAAATTCTGGTCTATATATGTTTATGGGACCCATACCCACATAGATGATCCTACATATACCCACATACAGGTTCCTGAATATGTATACAGGGTCTATACCGTAGAGTTATTATAATGTACGCTAGAGGTTCAACTGGCGCTAGTGTCCATGCGACTTCCGGGAGGCAAATTGAAGCAGACAGCAACCAGTCAACTTTTGCGGTGCTCCTGTGCATTCCTATGGGAAAACGAGCGTGAATTTTGTCTCTTCGCCGGAAAATAACATAAATAACTTTTATTATTTCGATTGTACCGGATAGTATGTACCTTTATTAATATTGTAAAAGTGCAATTGCTTTAATTACAGCATTTTTCTTTACCATTGAACGATGTTACGCTTCGCTATATTTCAGGCCCAAACCTCTGTTTCATGGCAGGTATGTAAAAACGAGCGACAATTCTGAGCTAACTAACGATCGAAAGGAATCTAGAGTGAGTTCAAGGTTCGCTAGCATTCCCGTGGCGATTATATATCGCTAATATGCCCGTCCTGTCACTCTATGATTTTGACTCCGTCGTGCATCTTTACGATCGGTTAAAGAACGTTCGAAAGTAAAAAATAAAGCACGTGGGCTACGAAAGGTGTGTCTTTTTATTATTTCCTATGTCAGGCAGTTTTTATCGGGCACCTGTTATCTGACTTCTCCCTATTTGTAAAGATTTAATTGGAGCGTGTTGTTGATGATTTGAACCCAGAACATGCATCTTCGCACTTTTTCATGAGCAGAAAAATAAAGCAGTACTTATTTATTGCAAATCGGCCTATATTACGTGGCTTTCAATTTATTTTGATCGCCTGCATGCACAAGGAGTTACTTATTTAGTGTTACTGCGTAGTTTTTGCCGTCCCTCTTGGTTTTCCACATGTCCTTCGTTCGTTTGGCACGTATCCCCAATGCTGGAAAGCGCCGACGTCGTGTTCGCGCTAACAGTGTCCGACAGTGCACAAAAATACATGTACGAAGCGGTTTTAGCGTCGTTTTTCATGCCACGAATTTCAAATAAAAACGCCGTAACTAATCAATTATTTCGTCTGCGTGACTGAGAAATGTTCCAATGTGTCTAGTACGTACGAATTATTCGTGATATTCGCTCTTATAATCGAGCGCAAAAATGCACTCGCGTTTTCCCATAGAAATGGATTAGCGGAAGTCAATTTCGGACTGGTTTCTGTCTGCTTCAATTTGCAGCAGCGCACTAGCGCCAGTTGAACCTCTAGCGTACATTATAATAACTCTATGGTCTATACCGCCACATACAGGATCCTGAATAGATATTCAGACCTGTAAATGATATCCCCACCTGCTTACGACACCATGAGTAAAGCCTGTATGAGCACACATGTTTTTCGGCGTTTGCTGTTATGGGCCCTTCCCACCAGTGGAAACGACGTCTGTAGTTGATGTTGTCGGTGTTGATGTTTAATTGGCGATGTAAGGCGTCCATCGTCAATTTTTCCAAATATATTAATGCGAAAGCATTGACTGTCCCATGGAGCGAACCGGCGTTATCAGCTCTTAAAGCCGCACCAAACTGCACCTAAAGTCTCCTGTACCATGGAGCTAAGCCTGTAGTCTGTAGCAGCGAAACGGAGACTTGCCGGGCACGCACCTTTGTTTCAAGGAACGCCACTCCGTGGCGCTGCGGCCCCGCGCCGGTGGAAGGAACACGGTTAACACGGTAGAGCGCCGACGAGCGTGGCGGCGCCTCAATACGGGCACCGCAAAACTTGAAGAAGTACTCAGCGGCGTTCGATTCGACATTCATACTTTCGCATTCACAACTCATAAGCGCTATTATGCTCAGGATGTACACTAATGCTTCGAACCTACTTCAGACGGTCCGCAAAAATCGGTTCCTCAACATATTTGCTGTAATTTACTACATAAGTGCTTTTGAGGGAAAATATCATCAAATGAACCCACCGCACTAAAGAAAGAAAAAAAAAAAGAATCAGTTTTGGGTAATTTACCGCGGCATTCGCAGATGGTGCGTGCCGTCTGCGCAATGCTGCCAACAGATGTCGAAACGTTGAGGGCGCACCGTATATAGAGAGCCAAGATTTAAGAGAGGGAGCAACTGAAACCGTGGAGAACGTTGCAATTTAATGGCAGACGCCTCTTCTGCAGATTGGTCGCAAATGCGCATACGTTGAGTAGTCGCGTGGCAAAGAGGAAAGCAGGTGGAGGGTTGGAAACGCTTGCAGACGATCACCGCGTTTATAACCTCCGCGCAGCTCTTATAGCAAACGCGACCCATAAACCACGTGGCATCGATCGGATATAGTTGAGAAAACCCTGTAATATACAGTCACACTAACGCTCCGGCGCCTGTAACTTAGCAAATGATCGTCCGAAAGTTTTGACTACGCTTCCTTAGCCCGACGCGTGTCTCTGTGATATGCAATCTTAAAAGTGCGATAATTTTTTCAATAAATTAAATGCGAAAAGAGGTATTGAAGTCCCATAGAGCCCGCCATTTCTTGTGCAGAGATGATCGAACGAGGCGCCGGATCCTATTGTAAGTCACGTTGCGTCATCTGTCCGCAGCACTTACAATTCGGCGAGCGCCGTTATGGCACCTCCTGCGAATGCAACTGTTGATACCCAAAACTAGTTGTTTTTCTTTTTTTGAACGAGTTTATCTGTTGATATTTTCAATTCAAACTTCTACCACAGAGCCACCCTTTTTAGTAAATCACACCGCGATGTGTTGTGAAACCGATCATTTTGCAGACATTTTAAAGTGGGTTCAAAGCGTTAGTACTATACTGTACATGCTGTAGTGACCAAGTGACGCGAATAGATTACAAAAAAAGCAGAATTCGAAGGTAGCTATATGACTATGCTCATGCCAAACTGCCTAAACGCGTGCAATTGAGAATGTAACTTGGGAATACTCTTCCAAATCGCACGTGGACGTATGTACTTATCTGCGGAGCACGTCAGCCACCGATCCTCAGATAGCGTTGTGTGCGATACGTATATATACAAGGTGGGTCCTCAAAAATGATGAGTCCTCAAACAATTCAGAATAAATATATGTTGGCGGAAAACGTGTGACTAGAACAAAACAGCGAATTAGAAGTACGGAAAATTTCTTGTTCTTGAGTTTTTGGCTTCGAAAAGGCAGAAGGTAGGTCTTACAATTAAAGTTATGGTGAGCGCGTCGGTGATGATAAAATTATCAGAGAGAATAAACAAAAAGACGGACAAGACAAGACATTTTGTTTATTCTTACGATTTTTGCAGTTTTTACGGGTGACAGATTTTCGAGACTCGCAGCGTTTAGATTCTTTTTCTCACAATTAGAATTTTCTTTTTTTGCCGCTTTAAAACTTTGTATAGAAGGGTTAAAGTTCTCTGGGTGTGTATTTGTTTATTTTATTTTATGAAATGAATATTTTTGAGTCTTGCACCTTTGACAAAAAGGGCCAAGTTGGAATCGAGCTAGCTTTCGATGTACATCATAAAAAAATATGTAAAATGAAAGCTTCTATCTAAGCCTATTTAAAAAATTAATCTAAGTATAGATTATATAGAACAAACAAGACTAAACTTGAGAATAAAAGCTAAAAAAATTACGTCATAAAAGGCATTTTTTACTTTTTTTAATATGAACTTAAACATGCAATAACATTTCTTTGGCATATATGGTTTCGTCATTTAAGCAGTGCGTTTGAAAAAAAAATTGCACCTGCATTCTAAGTCGAAAATATATTTGCCGTTGCCATATTTTTTACATAATTATTGTATATACGCCGTGGGGGCGCTCCCGCGCTCAAGCGGGTGGCGTTGCAAGCACTGGTGGCGACTCCAGCGAAATCGGCGCCACATAGCGGCAACGCCGAGAAGCTCAGGAGAGGAGGTCGTTTCAACTCTGTCGTCTGCTATCACTGCTTGGTTCTCGTAGACAGCATAGCAACAAACGTCGTTTCCACTAATTATTTTTATGCTTCCGCCGTGTTATTCCTAGGCACTGACTAGAAGAAGGTTTTTACCGTCGAAAGATCGCTAAACACCGATGACACTGCAGTGCAAGAAATTTATAGTGGTCCTCGCGCTGAACGACGAAAACGACCTCCTCTCGTCCTCCATTTTGCCTGACCAGCGCGTCCCCTACAGTTTGCTGGAGTCACGAATAAGAGATGGGCTAACTCTGCCCAGCGGCTGGGGTTCGCAGAGGTAATAAACGTTTTCTTGTTGACTAGACTTCAGGTGTCGTACCTCCCTAGGGGTACGACACCTGAAGTCCAAGCCACTGCAACGTTTGGAACGTGTGACCATAGTATTCATTATATTTAAGATACCATTTAGTAAAAATGAGGTATAACTGGCATGTTATGATAATTAAAATAAGTTCATGCACATGTCCAAAAACGTTTCTTTTTTTTTTTTTAATTTTACAAGCATAACCATTAAGTTTCACAAACCTTTATATCAGGCTACGAAGGGGCAAGATAAATTATTTTCAAAAACCCAGCGAGCTAAGTGCGAAAGTTTGCTTCTTTAAAGCGGCCGCATTTTCACGTACACTGGCGAGGCTCGTTCAAAACTTCTTTACTTTCATTTTATTTGAGGCAATAACAAGTCACACAGATAAACGGAGGAAATGAATAACTTTACATTTTATATTAAATATTATAAGCTCGCAGTAAAGCTTATGGGGATAAAAAAAGGTATTTTAAGTAATGAGCAGAACGTAAGGGCGTATCTGCTCATTGAGCCAAGTGAGCTCGTGTATATCATTTTTTTTTCTTACATACATTAGCTTACTTGCGCCTCTACGTTCCGCTCATTACTTAAATCATTTTTTTTAAAGTAATGAGCAGAATGTAAGGGCGCAAGTGAGCTGGAGTATATAAAAAAATGTTTTGGGTAAAATATAAAATGTTTTATCAAACATTTTTGTGAAAAACCCGAGACTGAGGTATTTACAGACGACAACAAGGAGGAGAATTAGAACGTCAGCTAAACCTTAATTGAGGACAGAACCCTTTATATAGGGTTCTGTCCTCAATAACGGTTTAGCTGTTTTTGAGACGTTCTCTTGCTCTTCCTTGTCGTCGTCTGTTAATACCTCAGTCTCGGGTTTTTTACTAAAAATATTTTAAGTAAGGTTAACATTACCCTTGAGGATTCGGAATTTGTTTTATCATATCCCTGAAAGACCCGTCTCTATTTTGAGTCTTCATCCACAAGTGGAAGGATTGAATGTTTTCCACAAGACCCAAAGAATTCCATTCCTTTATCTATGCGTCACGGTATTGGGCGAGGCATGCTGCTTTATTTTTGAAGAGTACAATTCCGGGCACTTTCGGGGACACTACACGAGCAAAATCATCGGCACTTCGAATAGTTTCAAATTACGACGACTTGAGGTTGTGCGAACAGGCTTGGTGATAAAAAGAGGTATTTTTTTAAATGACATTGAGTTTTGTATTTCCAACAATTCTTTTCAATTTTAGTGTTGTTTGTTTTATATAAACAATACTTAAATTAAGACAATATTATAATTTTTAAATAGGTTTAGGAACAAGCTTTCATTTTATATATTTCTTATGCCTTAAATAATTGTGCATCGAAATCTAGCTCGATTTAAACTTGGCCTACTGTTGTCAGAGGTGCAAGATTCAAGGATTTTTATTTTATAAAATAAAATTTAAAAAAGCACACTTCTAGAGAACCTTCGCCTTCTATGCTAAGTCTTAAAGCAGTAAAAAAAGTTATAATTGCTGTGAAAAGATGGTCTACACGTTGCGAGACTCCAAAGTGCGTTACTAGCGAAAACTGCAAAAATCACAAGACCTTCCTTCTGCCCTTTCGCAGCCCCAAACTCAAGAACAAAAATATTTCCGCAGTTCTAATTTGCAGTTTTGTTCTTGTCACACATTTTCCAGAAACATCTATTTTTTCTGAATTTCTTTTTGAGAACCCATCAATTTTTCTTGCATGAATTTAGATGAATCACCCACATAGTATATCAAGAACACAACACTTTAAATGAAGAAATGATTCCTAGGGAATAAAGTTGTCGACAGCAGCGGACGTCAGGGTACAAATGAAAAGGGATAACTACCAGTCTAATTGCCTAAAATTCACTAGTTCACGTTTTAAATATTCGCCTTATTTTTTAATCTCATCTTAATAGGGGATGGCAGTTGAACCCTTTCAGAAGCGTGGACTCCTGACGATGAATTCTCGCGTGTCCGTGCAGATTTCCAGCGGGAGTGCCGTCGAAGCATCCGGGAGTCTCAAGTCCGGGTGCTCGTCTTCCAGGCGCTCCCGAGGACGACCAGGAGACCGATTCAGGTGAGGCAAGGCAGGGGGACAGGGGATCAGAATCAAGATGATTTAAATCATGACTGAAATCACCATAAAAATAATTTCGAAAATGGTTTTCATCGGAATCATCAAGCTAGAAATATTTATTTCGGACTGAACACGAGCTAAGGCATTGCTCTTCTCAGCAAATCGGATCATGGAGCTTCCTTTCTACTTTCCACTTCATCAGTCAGTTACCTAGCGTCCTATTGCGAGGAAATCGAAACGTGAAAGAAATAAAAAAAAAAAAAAAACTAGAACGGTAATGTCATAATGAAAGCAAATCAAAAGGCAAAAAAAAAAAAAAGCAAATAAGGCTTTTTGGCTAACTAGAAAAATCAAGCTGGTTTTGTTGTAGTATGGTTGGGGTTACATGAATAAAAAAAAAAATGGCCCCATCTCCACGTGGTGAATGATGTTGATTGGGGCGAAGCTCTGGTGGTGCTGATGATACTGCTTTTTTGAGCACTTGACCGCTGCGCCCTGTCGTCTATAAACGTTGTGCCAATGCATGCAAAGTTTAACGTGATTATATACGTATTTGACCGCAGCGCCCTCTCCTGTATAGACGTTCAGCGGCTATATGCAACGTTTCATCCATGACAGAAACCCCAGCTCTTGAGTTACTACCACATCTCAGAGCCCCCTACTCGTCCCGCAGTCGTGGCTGAGTGGTTAAGGCGATTGACTAGAAATCCGTAGGGGTCTCCCCGCACAGGTTTGAATCCTGTCGACTGTGCAATCATTTTTTTCTTTAGACAGATGGGATGGCAATCGATGTGAGCACGGACGCCGGAGCTTCGCCCCTAAAAGTTGTTACTTAAACTGTACTCTAAATTTACAGTAATTATTTCGACCCCATTGTCAATGATCTGACGGATTGATCAATCTATCTGTCATGTTTAAAAATTAATGTATAGTGACAGTGAGTGACTAATTTTAGCTACATTGATATAAACCAAATTAATCTGATTTAAGTAAAATATATTTGATTTACTTAATTTTTAAAAACAAAATCATAATTTTATATTATTACTATTATTATTATTATAATTTTTTTTTTTTTTTTTTTTTTTTTTACTTTGGGCAAGCGGCGGCCGACCTTCCACAGGGATGAGAAGCCAGACATGATCGCATCACAATAGGCGCTTTTGTCAGCTTGGATGTGGGAAAAGGGCTAACAGCATGATGATGATAGTGTGGCATCAGATACGCGTTTTCTTTGAAAATTGCGCCATGTGAAAATCCCTTCAGACTTGGAATAACAGACCACCGGGTAATTTCGACGTCTTTCTGGAATTCAGACCCGTACATCGAGCGTGGCGACAATGGCGAAGCCCAGTTTCTCGGGTGTTAAAGGGGCCCTGCAACAACTTTTTAACTGGTTTTTAATTTGCACCGAACCTGAGCGCACTGAACGTATTAACTTCATAAAACTTTTCTTTTCTCGAATTTCGCTTTATCTTAAAAGTTATAGAAGAATTAAAATGACAAGAACAAGCAAAAAAAAAAAAAAAAAACCACCTTCATGACGTCGTTGGTCGTGGCTTGACTCTTGAGTGGCCGTGAACAAGATGAGGGGTAGTGAGCTCAGCGAGTGCTCACGACTGCCGTACTCCGTGTCGACGGCTCGAGAGGGCGCCACTAAAGCATGTGCTGGATAGGCTGCATCACGGCCGGTCTCGACGCGTGGCTGTATGAAGTGGGCACCCAGGGCGGCTCGCATTGCATTTGCTGCGTGATTAAACACTAATTCGGCATGACACTTCATTGGCCACAAACGACAGCAAACACGGGGTAAAGACTAGTTCAGAAGGGGTGCCACTTCGCGCTGCCATACCGCCAAACGGCCAACCCGCAAGCCAAACCTGCTCGCCGAAGGCATTCGGAACGCTCGGAACCGGTCGGATCCTCGAGCCCGTATACGACCGCAGCGCTGCCGCGTACTTCCGGGACCTTTCTACGCTCGCCGCACGTCGGTGCCTGATCCCACTGCCCCTTTCTAGTACGCGCCGCCTTTTCCACCGCTTCGTGGCCGGTATGTCGACGGGTCATTTCTTGTTTCCGTACTTTATAATTATAAACTACATTTGTATCTTTTCTGATATAAAATACCGAACAAAAACTACTTTCATAACTAATTGAGACGGTTCGCGCCACTTATATTTTGTATTTCGACTAAGAAAAAAAGCTTTTAGCGGCTCTGACCAGTAGTAAGACCAGAGCCAAAAAGGTCACGATGTCGTCACATATCGCGCTTTCGGCATCGCGGGTCGCCCCCGTAGGTGGAGGTGGTTTCCGCGTCGTCCGGTTAAAACATGACGCACTGATATTTAGTTACTCTCTCCTTGCCCACTGGCTTGCCCGAACCCCAAGAGACGTGGAAACTGCAAAACAAGTAGATGCTTAAATATGATTGCAGGGCCCCTTTAAGGACAGCATGCATTGTGTCTGGAGATCGACTAAGAAATAGTGAAGGACAGGACATTTGTTCGAACTACAGGATTTTATTCTAGCCGACTACGCTGTAATGCGCTGAGATACTGAGGGAGAGGAGGATACGAGAGAGTACATCAGAACGCCGAGCTCTGATTGGAACGATTAGTGGGTACACCCAAAGCTAGCTGCCTCTGTCTCCACTGCACTCGTCGAACGCGTTCGAATCCGAAAGCCAACCGCCGGACGCCGGCGTTCCGTCTTCTAACTCGTTCGACGAGTGCAGTGGAGGTAAAGGCAGGTAGATTTAGGTCTACCCACTAATCGTTCCGACCAGAGCTCGTCGTTTTGACGTCCCCTCTCGTATCCTCCTCTCCCTCAGTATCTCAGCGCAGGGTTGGGACACGAGGCAAGGGTTAACCTATAGCCACAAAGAAGCGCGAGAAATCACTAAACACGACAATTTAGCAGTATTATAGTAGTGAATTAAGCAGTGTTGGACAAAATACTCGATAAAAGCCTTTAAGTTAAGTTACTAAATACCTGTTACATAAAGTATTTAAAATACTACTCAGTCACTTTCCCTGTAAAGTATTTTGAGTAGAGTACAAATACTTAGAAATGCAATTCAATTGCTTCTGAAGATACTTCCGCATTGCGTAATTTGTATCGACGTCAGTGACAGACACAATTATACAGTTGCGCAAATCGGGTTTATCAAAGTGGAATTTTAGCACGCAACAGCACAAAATGGCAAAAGAAAAAAAAAAGAAAAAAAAAAAACATTGTAGGGTTATTCCATGCAGTCAAACTACAAGGAGCAGGATATCACTGATCGTTTGGATCTAAAAGTAAAGTCTGCGCTGTGGCATTACGCAATGCAAAGCGTCATGCTTGCATTGCGTAATGCCGCAGCGCATACTCCAAAGTTGAGATCTAAATAGATGTTCCGCTTCATCATTCGCTGAACTGATTTCGTAGATCGCAGAGATTGGCTTTTCGAGTGTTTTGCAGGTAAGTAAACATGCAGGCAATTTTAAGAGAGCAGATATACTTATATCGAACCGCAGAAAGCCTCAAAGCAACCACAAATTATTTTACTATTTGATGCACAATATTTGGAGTACTCACGTCCAATTTCTATCTCTGGCGCGTTCGCTGCCGCTGTTCTCCCCGTCGCCGCACTGGCGGATGCCATGACTCGAAGAAAGAAACATGCACACTGGGCTCGAAAACGCAGATCGCAACACACGAGACGTACCCTGCAGCGAATATCCAGCGCTTCAAAGCGCCCAATCAACAGAAACAACCCACCAGCGGCACTGCAAGGAGCGCTTTTGCCGGCTCTCTGGTATCTCGCATGCAGGAGATCGCGATTCAGGAAAACCGATAGAACTAACTTTTCAACAATTTCCATGCCACACCCGGCGGCGGAAATGAGCCTTCAACTAAGTGTTTTAGATGATAAAATCGAGTCAATGTCACTACTGCAAAATATCAATATTAAGATAGACTCAGCTTTACGCTGAAAAAGCAATTATCACACGAAAACTCGCACGCACCTTGCGGGTGTACCCCATGTTCATCAACGGTACATAAAAAAAAAAAATTGGGTTGTGTGTTTATACAGCCTAGAACTTGGTCTGCCTCACAGGGGCGACGAGTCTCCCAGCTGTACATGAGAAATTCAGCCAGTGCAGTACAACCGCTAGCCTGGGGTCTTTAACGTGCATCACGCAGTAGTGATACACGACCGCACGCCGGTACGATGCTCATCCAGATCGAAACGGGCAGGGATGGGGCTCGAACCCAGGATCCCTGGGTTCTGCAGCGCGAGCTTTCGCTCCACGTGCTCCGAGCTGGTGTGCGCTAGACCACTCGGCCACCGATCCCCCCTCGGCGGTACATAAAGCCCCTCTATCCTGAGAAAAGTGGCGCCATTCATTGTTGTAGAAATGCTCGAGGCACGTGCCGCGCGCAACTTCTGGGATATTCATGGCGTCTGAAATATAGCTCAGCGCTGCGCTGTGCCGCCAGGATCTTCCCAAGGACTGCACGTTGCACTTCCCTCGTGCATCGACGAACCTTGCGCTACTTTTGAAACATGAAGGGACATTAGCGGTACAGCGTTCGGTGCGCGCTCTATTCCCAAAATGTTCCAAGCGCAGTCGAGAAGTCGGCGTTGAGGATACGTCTTTTCGGTTTACGGACGCAATCCACTGCTGCCGGAGACCGGGGTCCTGTGGAAAGCGATGGAGCTTAAAGACATTGCAGCCGCTCTCGCCTTGCCGGATTTCTTGCAAGCTGCATAGGTCCTCGGACAGTATTCGACGCTTTCTGTCGTTTATTCGTGCACCCTATGACCGAGCAATGGTGTCCCGATAACCGGGGGACTGTCGCCATCGAAGCCCGTGGCCCTAATTAAGTTTGCGAGTTTAAAACAGAAAAGAAAGCGCGAACGAAGTTCGGGCAATGCAGACACCCAACACCGGCGAAGCCTCTCATCCGGGACTTTCACTCTTTCTACACACACAGAGAGGGGGAAAGCGCCCTTAGCCCTTTCCCCTTTTCTCTCTCGCTGTCTTTTATTAAAACGGTCTATAAAAACAAAAGGCGCCTTTGGGAAAGCGAGGGGAAAACCTTCACTGTACGAACTTTGAATGAAATATGAGTCAAAATCGGTCAAAAGCGATGTTTTTACAAGCTCAATGTAAGTCATCGTAGCTTATTGGAGCTAGCAACAGGATTTGGTTGCTGTAAAGAATGTTTACGTTTGCTTGTACCACGCCCACGCCGCTTCACACCAAAAAGCTAGACACTAGAAAAACCCCTGTGAGTTGGTTGAATTTTGCCTTTATTCCAATCTTCAGGATCGAGCCTGCAAAGGCGGAACAGTTACTTGTTGCGCGAAGCTCTCTTCAAAGCGGATTTTTTCACGCCAGACTCTCCAGCCACATTGCGCTTTCTGGACCTCCTTTTTGTAGCAGGTTTCTTGCTCGCCCTGACTTTCCTGTTCTTCACTGGAGATGACCGAGCAGTTGTGGACTTGCTGCGCCTAGACCTTCGCCTCTTGCTCTTCCCTGCCGTCGCTTTCCTTGCCCTGGGCCTCCTAGTCGTGGCGCTGGCACCTCTGGTCCTCGAGCGCGATGACAGGCGGCTCCTGGTGCGTCTTGTCGTTCTTCGCTTTGCCGGAGTCGTGGAAGCCCTGTTCCTCTTGCGCCTCCGGGCTCGGGAGGGGAGCGCCATGGAGGCGCCCTCGCTTACCCCGCTGGTGGATGCGGAATCCATAAGAAAGAATTTAGCCCGCCCGGCCTCGACTTTCTCTCTGTCGCAAGTCTGGGCCTAGGTACAGCGGTCTCGCTTAACAAACCGGGGACAGGCGAAGTCTCCCTGCAAGAATACATGGGAACCACGACAGTCGGTCTCGAAACATACGAGATGACGTTTGAAACTGTTTGCAGGCTGATGTCCATTAAACTCTTTATCGCACAAACAAAAATAAAATCTACTTACGTTATCCGGCGCAACAGAGAAAATTACGATACCATGGCCCCTTCAAAAGTAATAATAGAAGAATTACCGCAGTAGTCCTATACATTTGTTGAAAAAAAGTTTCCTTTTTAAATACAAGTAGATCACATGATAGCCGCCGCTCTACATGATATATGGAGTATTCAATGGCGGCCATAGCTGTGTGCGCGACTGCTGAGGGCGTGCCGATATCGAGCTCCCACAGTTCTTTTGGAACGTGCATTCCACACCATCAGGATTGGCGGTCTTAATTAGCAGCCTATAAATTTAGGCTCGTTCTCATCATGCACTCTAAACAGCGCCCTCAAATATGGAGTCCAGTGAATACTCCCTATAGGAAGTATTCACTGTCGGCCATAGCTGAGTCCACGGCTGCCGAGCGCGTGCCGACGGCGAGCTTCCACAGTTGTTTTACAACGTGCACTCCACACCATCAAGATTACCGGTCTTAGCAGCCTATCAGTGAGAGTTCGGTCTGAGCATGCGCTGTGAACAACGCACTTAGATATGGGGTCCATTGAACACTTCCTATAGATCGAATTCATTGGACGCCAGCTTCTTTTTGTTCATGGTTCAAGCAATCTCTTCACGAATACAATGCTCCGCTGTACGGAGATAAACTGAGGGAAAGGAGCAGCAGCGACGTCAGAGCGCCGAGCTCTGATTGGGAGGATCAGTGGGTAGGTGAAAAGGCCTTTCTCTCTCCCTACTGTCTCCCTTCAATCAGAGAGAACAAGAGCGTCGTCTGCTCCACGCGCAGGGCCTGGCGTTCGAAGGCTGAACACTAGGCCCTGCGCGCTCTCGAACCGGAAATTCGGAAGATCATCCACTGACACCGAGAAAGCCGTTTGAATTGAACAAACTAGACTTGGGGCTGCCTATCATGGCAATGCCTGGGCGGTCTTGGCATAGGACCTCGCTTTACTTACGGATTGGCTGCTGCTTGCTACCGGGCCGGAACCTCTCTGGCAGGCGACGTCGAGCGCCGAATGGGAACGCAGACTCTTCAAAGATGTCGGCAAGGCGCGCTAAGGGCGTCGTAGCCTCCTCTGTGGGACTGCTGGCCGGTTCGTTGGCTTCCTGCGGGTCCGAACCTGCGTCCGACCCCTGTGACTGCCCTCGTTCCAAATGAGATACTGGGCCCGAGGTACACGCGATCTCGCGCTCGCGCTTGTGGCGTCTACGTCCTCTTCGTCTCAGATTCTCGGCCCCTCGCACAGCTTTGATCTGCGCAGCTTTGAACGGTGCTCAAGGTGCGCTCGCGCTAGCACTCCCGTTCATTTTGACACATTTGAGTGCATTACCACAGAAGGATATTGCGAATCCCCATCTGGTGAATTTATGGAATTTCCAAGAGTCAGGATACATTGGGATCCCCGACTTCCCCCTATCCCTTAACCCCAAGATAAACAACAAATGTTTTTACTCTAAAATAACCAAGTTCGAGAAGTCTGCACATTCACGCTCCTCAGCACTGACAAAACCAAAACAATGACAAGGCAAGCGCAGGTGCGCTGGCCTTGTCATTGTTGAGGATTGGTGAGGATCACCGTCGAGACTTGCGCACCCTCTTATCCGCCAATAGAAACATCGGAGATCGTCTCGTTTTCTTGGCTTGCGATAATTTCTTGACTAAACTTGTTATAACTGAGCTGCCGTAGACATGGGGATGGCCGGTGCTGTACGGAACGCGTTCTTCTTAGGAGACACAGATGAACGCCCTCATTCCATCTTGCATTGGTGTCGTTGTAGGGGCAACCGTGGGCCCTGCAAACATATTTAAGCGTCTACCTTTGCGGTTTCCACGTCTCTTGTGTTTCGGGCAACCCAGCAAGATCGGAGAGAGTAACTAAATATCAGTGCGTCATATTTTAACCGGACGACGCGAAAACCTCATCCTCCTTCGGGGGTGCGCCCCATGGTGCCGAACGCGCGCAACGAAATGTAACGAAATCGTGACGTTGTCGGTCCAGGTCAGCTCCTGCCTTACGACTGGACAGAGCCGCTAAAAGCTTTTTTTAGTCGAAATACAAAATGTATTTTTGCATGAAAGTAGTTTTTGTCCAATATTTTATAGACGAAAAAACAAATGCAGTTTAGAAAGTGCAGAAATAAGAAACAACGCGCGATGACCCGTCGACATACACGCCACCAGGCGGTAGAAGAGGCGGCGCAGGCGCGCCCCGCACGATTCCGAAGCGTGCTCGCTTCGGGGTCTCGGAGGCCGTGCTCCGCGGTTCCTAGCACACGGCGCACGACTCTGGCGGCACATTTTGCAAGGAGCGAAAGTACGAATTTGTCTTCTCGCGAGAGCACAGGTGTGCTTAGATGGGCCAGTTGATACATTGCAAGGGGTATAAAGCGCCGAACATACAAGCACCAAGACACGAAGACAACGACACGAGCGCCTTGTGTCGTTGTCTTCATGTCTCAATCAACTTTTTTTTTTTTTTTGAGCGCAAGGAGATTTGCTTGGACTTGTCCACTACTTGAGCGTCGTCGAGTTGGGGCTGATAGGCTTCGCCAGCGCGATCCAGGCGCTTACGAGGAGTGTCTGTTTGGAGTTTCAATCCCCACCCCTGCCCGTTTCGATCTGGATGAGCATCGTACCGGCGTGCGGTCGTGTATCACTACTGCGTGGTGCACGTTAAAGACCCCAGGCCAGCTGTTGTACGGCACCGGCTGAATTTCTCATCTACAGCTGGGAGACAATTCGCCCGTTGAGGCGGACTAACTTCCGGCTGCATGAACATACACACAACATCATTAGTAGTATTTTTATAAACTCCAAACATCAATATGCCGATGCAAAAAAAAAAAAGAAAGAGAAAAAAAAACAAGGCGGTATTCTACAATTTAGTCTGGTCAAATCACAGGGTCAATGATCGCGAGGAAATACCACCCGTTTCCAAAATGTAAAAAAAAAAAAAAAAAAAAAGAAATGTTTTAATAAAATAATTTAAATATAAATAAATAATTTCTTTAATTCACTTAAATAGCTGTAGCAAGACAAAGTTAATTTTTTTATCGCTAGATGTATTTATAATCGTAAAAATTTATTGATCGATATTTTTTAATGACTGAAAACAATGTGGAAAAAATAATTACTACAAATTTAAACTTTTAAAATACTGTTTAATTAACTTTTTTATTCATGTAAACCCCGCAATACAAAATGAGCTTGTTTTTTCATGTTCGTGAAAAAAAGTTGTATTACTTTTTGTTGCGTTTTGATTTGGTTGCAATAAAAACTTACTTTTTTTTCTTTTTTTTTCTGGCATTGTAATAGGACATTGCGCAACTGACGAACGAAGTGGAAGGTAAAAAGAAAGCCTCTGATTTGCTTAAAAGAGCGCCGCTTTCTGTTCGCGTTCAGCCTGCTGGAAACCTTTCTTGCTTGATGGTTTCATTTAATTCCAAAACAAGTGTACACAGAGAGCATAAAATGAGAGACAAATGTTACTTTAGGGATTATTTCAATATATTTTTCGGATTATTTTTGCGGGAAAGGTTCGATTTAAATCTTCGTGTAAAACCGTGTGATTTAAATCACGGTATAAATCACCTTGAATTTTGTTCTCCACCCTGTCAGTTTCCTTTCAAATATCGCATAATTGGCAAAAGGGGTCTCGCCGTTGATCTCGTGTCAAAGTTTATGCGGAACAACACGTCATTGTACTGCACTTCTGGGTAACGACCTACTTGAGAAAGTGTTTAGAGTACTGCTCACGTTAGTTTACCAGCAACATATATTGAGTAAAGTACTAATACTTAGAAATGTAATTAAATTAGTTTCGAAGATACTTCCACATTTCGTAATTCCGTATCCGGAGTCAAAGTAAAAAAAAAAAGTCTTCTTTTAGTGTTTTGTTCTTATTTCGCTCTGTTTGCTCTTTTGTTCTTCGCCATTTTGGGAATGCATTTTTGGTCCTCGCTTGTTTCCTGCTTTGTGTTTCGAAGTTTCCGCTCCATCCTTGTAATCGTGTCAGCTTTGTACCGGGGTGTGCCGATTCCTATTCCCGTAAAACATTCCAGTGAAAAATTTTTTTCAAACGTTGCAAAATGTATTTGAGATACTGTGTATAGAAGAAGTGAGAAATGTAAGTTGGGAATCGGTGGCCGAGTGGGACAGCACACACCAGCTCGGAGCACGTGGAGCGACAGCTCGCGCTGCAGAACCCGGGGATTCTGGGTTGAATCCTCACTCCTGCCCGTTTCGATCTGGATGAGCATCGTACCGGCGTACCGGCGTCTCATCTACAGCTGGGGGACAATGTGACCGTTGAGGCAGACTAAGTTCTAGGCTGTATAAACACCCATATCCCAACTTATTTTTTTAATGTAATTAAGATAAGGAAATACTCTCAATCAAATCTACTTGCAAAATACTAAATAAGTACCAAGAGTAATTGAAATACAAAAGATCCATTGGTGGATCCTTAGGGAACGCGTTAGCATGACCCCTGCAAACGCCACACACGTGCGCCTTGGGGAAATGCTAACGCTGACCCCTTCATTTTTTTTTTTCTTTTGGCTTTCTCTTTTGTTTCCTCTATTTTGTGCTGCCTCTTTCTCGTTTGCGTTTCCCCAAGGCGGACGCGTGTGGCGTTTCCCAAGGGTCATGCTGACGCATTCCCTAAGGATCCACCAATGGATCTTCCTTTAATGTTTTTGCCGCCTACTTGGACCAGCGCTAGCACTTGGTTCACACTCCATTTTGTAGCCCAAAGCAAGGCATAGGCGCTCCGCACACCTGCAGGTTCAAACTCGCCCCAGTATCCGCGCGCGCATGGGCTGTTGAGAAAACTCCGCATTCATTGAGAGGCCAGTCTATTTAGGGAGAAACAAGCCTGGGGTTGAGGTGAAGATTGTGAATACTGGCCGGGCGGGGTCAGGCCCCGTGGCTTTCTACCAGGTGTGCTTGATGGCGGGCGGTGCCCGAGACTGCCTCGGCTCCATAGCCCTACCGCTGGACCAACCCCTCACGTTAGAGCAGCTACGAGTTCACCTGGGCCGACATGCCGATGCCAGCATACGGGAGTTGACTGACCCCTCCTTCTGCTTCGTCACCGAGACCAACAGGGAGCTGAATTTTCATGAGGCGGCAGGTAGCCTCGTTCACAAGGTGTACCCGTCCGGTGCAGTAATGCTGAAACACACGAAAGGTAAGGGTTATAAGCACACCCTATATACATGGTACCGTCACTTTAACCGCTTGGCGCGCGGTGATGCAGGAGAAAAAGACGGCTCCTCACAAGCTTCATTTACCGAGGCATGGACGGGAACACACGCTGGTACGCAGGGCTCGGTCACACCACCTGTGGTCGTCAGCCACCAAGGTGCGTTCAGAAGTAAATCAAATTGCGAAATTTATTACAAGTTAGTCATAACTTTGCTTACCCTAACAGAAGATAGAGAAGTTTCAGAGCATTGGGGTGGGTTGAATTGATATCATGTGAATGCATCCCCTGCATGCGTTCTTTCCAAATGTCGAGGACCTTCGTCATAATCCATTCAATTTACTGACTTCCAGATATCAATAAACCAACTGTACTCTCCAGGAGAATCTTGCCGAGCAAAACATGGGGGACGACAGACAATGCCATGGTTACGTACGGTGAGTGCGCATAAGAACATTGCGAAAGTTTTTGTACGAGTGCGTTTAAAAAAAAAATTGGGTTGTGTGTGTGTTTATACAGCCTAGAACTTGGTCTGCCTCACAGGGGCGACGAGTCTCCCAGCTGTAGATGAGCAATTTAGCCAGTGCGGTACAGCCGCTAGCCTGGGGTCTTTAACGTGCATCACGCAGTAGTGATACACGACCGCACGCCGGTACGATGCTCATCCAGATCGAAACGGGCAGGGGTGGGGCTCGAACCCAGGATCCCTGGGTTCTGCAGCGCGAGCTTTCGCTCCACGTGCTCCGAGCTGGTGTGCGCTAGACCACTCGGCCACCGATCCCCCCGAGTGCGTTTAAACTAATACTAATTTGCGCGTTTTGTTAAAAAAATAAAAATAAAAGTATTTGCACACGACGTCAGTACAGATAATAAAAAGCAATAAGAGATTAACTAAAATAGCCATTTTTTAAGGTCATGCGTGCCGGCGTGTCTCTACGAGATGAGGTTTATGCATATGGCTTTATGTGTGATATGCGTTCTTCTGCTTTACATTTATATCTTATTTAAATTTGCTTTGTATCAGGGCGCGCGTGGTCATTGGAGTACAAAAATGGCGGTGCACTGCGGTCGCCGAGCATTCAGCGATCGCTTGGTTGCCACGGCTGGTGTCGCAGCCTTCTGCCGTGCACGATAAGCGCCCGAGCACACCTACGATGTTTTGTTTGTGGGTACCATTTTCTGCGATGGCCCTGTAGGTGCACTGTTCGCACCAACGTTGGTTCACACACAGTGTGGGGTTTGAGACCCAGTCGAAGGGACATACGGGTAGCAGAACAAAAGGAGCGCACCAGTGGCAAGTCGAGCCAGCGCGTCAGCGTGTTGAGAAACGAGAAAATATAAAGAAAATAAAGAAGTGCGAGCGAGCTGGAGGGGCACGCTGAGGCGCCTCCTACATTGGCAAATAGCGCGACCAAAAGTGTGGCTGTAATCGGCTTTCCACAATTGGCCAAACGCTCACTATGACCTCTTTCGTTTCATTTCATTTATTTACCCTCAAGGCGTGCAGCATTACAGAGTGGGGAAAGACTGATTAACAAGTCAGTACGTTTGGGACAAATAAGTAACAAGAGAGAGAGAGAGAGGGAGGGAGGGGGAGAGAGAGAGAGAGGAGGAGACAAGAGGGGACGTCAGAACGCCGAGCTCTGATTGGAATGATTAGTGGGGAGACCTAAAGCGAGCTGCCTTTGCCTCGAACGCGTTCGATTGCCAAACGCCGGCGTCCAACGTACGGCGTTCTCATTTGAACGCGTTCGAAGAGTGAGCAGAGTCAAAGGCAGCTAGCTAAGTTTCCGTCTATCCTTTAATCCTTCCAATCAGAGCTCGGCGTTTTGACGTCCCCTCTCGTCTCCTCCTCTTAGTTTCTGGACGCATAGGTTAACTCACGCCTTCCTGAAAGATCGAAGGCGGCAATCAAAACAACAGAGGCTGGGAGATGGTTCCACTCAAGGGAGGTGAGGGGGAAAACAGATTGATAAAAGGCATTAGAATTGGTCAGAGGAATCCCAACTTTATGATGAGGATCGACATGCGAGAAGACAAAACGGGAGTGAAATGAGCCGTGAACGCGGTGCAATGCTGTTGTAATAAAATTTTTGTAAAATAAGTTAAGACGAGCGATTTTTTTGCAAACTGATAGATCCGGGAGTGAAAGATTGGCCTTCATAGTGGGAACACTTATAGTTCAATAATATTTTGGGGGAAAAAAAATAAACGAACCGATCTGTTTTGTATGGCGTCAAGTGATGTAATTAGTGGGCTCTGATAAGGATCCCAAATAGATTATGCATACTCAAGCTTAGGTTTTCAGTGATTGTGAGGCTAATGGAGTATGATGAATTATACTTTTATTAAAGGAAATAAGAATGTCAGGCGGTCAATTTTGACGGTGTTGGTTTAAGAACGTGTTGATTACAAGTATTTACTGTGTTTTTTTTTTTAATACAATTTCAAAATTGTCGCTAGCAATTGATAATCCTGATCGTGACGTGACAGATAGGAATCATAAGAGGGAGCCACCGAAACATCTCGTCGCCAGTAAGGGGAAAGGCCGCGTCATAAACGCCGGAACAGATCGTCAAAAATGGGAGGCTCAGAGCATAAAAGAAAAATTGTATTCGGAGAGCTAGTCGTCTGCTTCTTGCCCAAGAGTTGCGGTGACGTCAGAACAACGTTTCGATTGATAGATAGTGGGTAGACCTCAATTGCTAGATTCCTTGAGGTCTACCCACAATTTTTTTTAATCAGTCAATAAGAGCTCGGCATTCTAACGTATTCGTAACCTTTATGTAAAAAGCAGACGAACTTGCGCCTCGCAATGGGAGGTGTGCGCCGCCACGCGTCCACTTTCCGAAACACTCATCTTTTCTTGATATGTTTTTGGTGAAAATGAAAGGTAGTACGCAACGTCGTCATTCTTCCCCACTTACGACTCGTCCTCCTTTCCCAGTCCTTCGACGCATCCTCCTTTATCCTCCTACCACAAACACCTTCCAAATTGGCGAGGGAAGGGAAGGCTGGGGAGGAGGAAGCAGACGGAACGCTGGACTCTCCTCTCCAGCATTTCGTCTGCTTCCTCCTCCTCCTCTCTCTAGCGCTCCGTCTGCTTCCTCCTCCTTACGCTTCCTTTCCCTCGCCAACTTTTCTTAATAGGGAGTTTTCGTAGACCGCGTTGCCCCCTCCGCTAAGCTTTCCGCAACGAAGAAGTTGCTACTGCGCCTGCGCGCCGATAGCCTTGACTGTGGAGTTCCCGCTATCGTAGCGGGTTGCGGAGGGCCTTGCGGGACGGCGAAAACGATCTACGAAAACTCCCTAATAAGTCGTTGAAGAGTCAATTTTTGTTTATGTCTTCCGCAAAATAGAAAAAGAAAGGATAGAGGGGTAGTTCGCATCACGACACCTGTGTGGCGCTGCCAACAAAATGCTTCCTCCTTGCCTACCCCTCCACTCCTCCCCCCTCTTTTACGTGCGGAAGCTGAGAGCCAGGGCTCGCCTTTATCGCGCACAAGGAGTAGAGCGCGTTGCTGGCGTGTCTGTTTCCTCACGCAATGTGACCTGTGGGGAGTTACCCGCATCCACTGGAGCAAGACGCGCGGCTGGAAACTCGTGTCCAATCATCAGAAGTTTTCACAAGCCCTGCTTCTTCCGAGTGTGCGTGTAGCGCTATTGGAGTACTTCGTGCTCTTGGATTGCCAGGAGCCCCTTGTGGTAACTGAAGTGGCTCGCGTAATTGATGAAGTCCAAGTGATCTACATATCTCGTGAAAAACTTGTCTATACCGTTCTATATACTCCTGGTCTCGGATATGCCGGGTCGGTTCGCATAATGATGACTCGCACATGAACGAATTCTTTGTAGTCCAGACGTCGACGTCGAAGTCGCCGCGCAGGATTATGCGCCTATCGAGGTTCCCAGATTTTATGCACGGGAGATTCGAGCTCGTCATTCGGAACCGACGCGGTGTGTCCACTACCAGGAGCAGACGTTGCATAGACATGGGCTTCACAAGATCGCGTGGTGCTTCGCCTAATGCAAGGGTCTCACGTGCGGGCGGTGACGTCAAATATGTCACGTGATGCCTTACCGAAGTCGTGACGTCATAAGCCCACTGCGCTATCCGTTGGTGAGTTATGATTCGTCCCATAACGTCGTGAGATCACGTGGGGAGCTAAGCCTCATCATTGGGGAGCCTGTTGGGCGCAATAAAACTCGCCAAGGCTATACGCTCCCGCGAGTCCTATTTAGTCTATACTTGCTCTCACTTTCACCTCTTCCTCGTGGCGCCGAGCAACGGTGTGGGGCTGCGGGTACGGTCCAAGTTTGGATTCCCGCTAAGCCGCTTGGTAAATCTCTCTGTTTACTATTGATTATGCCTGATTATGATTACCGCTATTAAGTGTGACGAGGAGTTCCTCAAAAACACTTTTGTAAGCCTGCTATGGGATGTGTAAGCTTTATGAAGCCTCGGCTTGTGTGTAATGATTTTTCGTTACACTCGCGCTTTTCGCGTAAAATCCAGCTCATAACCAAATTCTGTGGTAATACAAATGTGAAATCACCGCGTCCTCGGACACTTTTATTGAATGTAAGTTTGAGCTAAAATTGGTGTGGCCGATGATAAGTTATGAATATAGAATTTTTGCGGTAGTGGTAAGGAAACATTTACACAGACATGACAAAATAGAAACTTATCAAAGCTCTGTTCGACTAAAAGCATTTTCCTCGGCGCTGTGTGTAGAAGCCTGGATTACCAAATTTATGGTGCTTGAAGCGCAAAGTTTTTCGCCGAATTCCTTGACATTGGTTCCTGAGCCAGATATTAGAGCAACTTTAGCCTGGATGAAAGAGATCTGGCGCCTATAGACGCCGAGAAACACTGACTGTAACGCCTCATGCGGCCTTCGAGGGAGTGTGACCGAAGAAAGAGTTAAATGTGAAATACACATTTTATCACAGTGGGGCCCTTGGGGATGTGCCAACGCCCTGAGTGCAATCAGCCAGGCCGAGTCAAGTGCATCGACTGTGGCGTGGCGTGTTACTGTACCACTCGCTGCCTCAAGACGGATTCATCCCGGCACCGACAATCCTGCTACCGTAAGTGCCGGCCGCCATGACCCGAGCCGAAAGAGCTCGACAGCCCTGCACCTACGAACAACATCAGACGAAGACCTCGCTGCCCTCACGAACTGGCATCCTCGCCTCCCGGCACGTCCACATAGCTCTCGCCTGCGCATGACCCGTGGGCCCCCGCCAAGCGAGCCTCAATAAAACACCTCTGGGAACAGGTCATCCGCTTCCCTCTTGACCGGAGATCATTAATAGTTACGCTCCACCGAGTTGGCTACAAAGGGGGACTGGTTTCGCGGATTTTCAAGTGCATGATACCAGCCTGAACTCACTCTTTCGGAGGTCCACCTGCTCTCGGTCTCTGCAAATACGAATAAAAGGGGGGTTCCCGAGAAAAAGGAACCGTGTTTTTCGGCCTGAATAAATAAACTATGCATCGCAGAAAGTTAAAACTTCATGAGAATGTGAAGCTAGCACCCGAGATAAAACGCGAAAGTTTTGGAAGATGACGTTGCCTGGATTAAAAGAGAATTGAGAAAAACGAAATAGCCGCTTCGGTGACACCGACAATAAAGAAAAAAATAAAGCCTCGGTGGCTCCGAGGCGAGAGCGCCGACCTATACGGATCCCCATGTGGCGGGTTCGAATCCCGGCCGAGGTGCCCGCAATCTGACGGAGGCGCCGTGTAACCGAGCTTTCGGTTGCACGTCAAAAGATCCCCAGGTGGTCGAAATTAATCTTCAGTCCTCCGCTGGGGCGTGCCAGATGCCCGTCGTTGGTTTGGCTCGTAAAACCCCCCAAATTTGATTTGATTTGACAAAAACGAAATTTCTGTATGAGCCAACGTTTACCTAAGTATCATCAAAACAAGAAATGATATTGTGAACTCTCGTCGGATTTATATCAGAGAAAAACACCAACAAGAAAGAGAATATTGTTTTCTTTCTTGCTGACAAGTTAGCTTAGGATGGCTAGTTGGGCTAGTTGGTTTTGCGTCATGGTGTAATACACCAAAACAAGGATGAGAATACAATAGTAAGGGTGCAGGCGAGCTGGTGGATGTTAACCATGTTGAATATACCTGAGACTGGGGTAGAAAAACATAAAAGTCGAAGAAACAGAACGGGACAGGACGACGTCTCAAACTCAGCTACCAGGTTTATTCAGGTAATTGCATAAGCCAGGCGTCGCTACAGTTCGGTAAAAATTCCAAAAGTTCTTTTAAAAATATAGTTATATTTATGTGTATATATATATATATATATTTTTTTTTTTTGGGTGGACAGAGGGAAATGCTGTACTGTTCAACTTTGCACCGTTTTAGGTTAAGTGCGTGTCATCCTTTCGTCGAGGAGGAAAGGAAAACAATTTAAGTAAAAAAAAATTTTTTTTTTTTTTTTATGTGTTTGTGGATCCTTGTTACTTTGGAAGAGGTAATGGTCCTTTTGTTATATTTTGGGGGAGATTGCTGAGTTATCTTTGTGAATCGGCATGAAGGCCGTCCATAGCGCTAGTTTGGAATTGCAGGGTTTGGCGTTTGGACTGTTTAGAGGTTGTCCCTTTGTGTTGTTAGTGTCTGTCTGGAGGGTTTGGCGGTTGAACTGGTTAGAGTTGCCCCTTTGTGTTGGTGGTGGGCTGTTTGTGGACTATATAAGGAGGAGGACTGAATAAACCTGGTAGCTGAGTTTGAGACGTCGTCCTGTCCCGTTCTGTTTCTTCGACTTTTATGTTTTTCTACCCCAGTCTCAGGTATATTCAACAAGGATGAGAACGAAGGGACAACTGGACAGGACGCGGTGTACACGCCGAGTCCTGCCCAGTTCTCTCTTCGTTCTCGTCCATGTTGTTTTGGCGTGTTACACCATGAAGTTAGTTTAACTGAAATATATGCTACCGGCGCACACTATGTAGTTTGTTTTTGTTTTGACCAAGCTAGGCTTAGGTGGACGTCGGCTCATATATAAAAAGTTGGGTTTTTTTTCAATTATCTTTTGATCCAGGTAATGTCACATTCTCAAACATTCGCAATATATCTCAACCGCTAGCGTCACTTTCTCAGTGAAGTTTGAGCATTCTGTGATGCCTAGGTTATTTACACGGGCCGAAGAACACGGTTCTTTTTTCCCGGGAACTCCCTGTACTTTGTTGTATACCATAAGTGCGGGCGAAGAGAAGGCAAGAAGCGCGAGCACGTTGTCCTGAAGTAGACTTGCACTGCACGGCGCGTGCACGACAGGCACGTTCCAAACGCAGAGCTTGAGATAAGTGCGGCAGGGAGGTCTTTCTAGGCATCCAAAAAAAGACGCCCTGCGCTTCTTGTTCAAAGAGCGGGTTGGTGAAAATACAAGAATCAATGAACGAATAAAAACACTTATAGGACAAGAACAGGCAGAACAGTTTTTTTAGCCAGCAACGGACATTTACTGATGTCTCCTTCAAAACGTACACCCACCCTCCCAAATTCTTAAACTAAAAGGTAAGTTTTTTTTTTTTCATACATCTTTTTTTGTTTAAGAAGTTGGGAGTTAGAGGAGACTTTGAAGGAGACATCAGTAAACGTTCGTTGCTAGCTTAAAGAATTGTTCTTTCTGTCCTTGTCCGTAAGTGTTTTATTCTTTCATTGATTCTTGTGCTTCTCGCTCGGTCACTGACTATTCACAACTCCAACGGTGCCAAGATGGCGGAAGATGGCGGGGCAGTAGTGCCAAGATGGCGGAAGAGACGGGGCTAGATTCTCCAGGATTTCGCGCGCGCCTGCTCGCTGACGCTGGTCAGTGTGCTAAAATTAAAGGGATACTGCAACGAAATTCTAGCGCTTATTTTATTGTCTAAATGTCAACCACGTTTGACTACAAATACAAAAAGGTCAGCGCAGGAAGGAGCAGGTCACAGGTAGAGTGCCTTCATACACACGCGCGCTTTTGCTTGAGTGGTGACATCTCGGCCATTTTTCCGCCCAATCGTTTTTTTATGCATTTTGAAGTGCGCGCAAACCGGTGTCACTAAGCTCGAGCGCGTAGCTTTAACTAATGCATAGACGCCATTTTACCGCCCGAGTCACGCACCGAGTCCGCGAGAGCGTCACGCGCTGGAACATTCAGGGCAACAATGGATGTCTTCACCTTGAGACAGACAGACATGTAGGCACCCTAGTCACAGGTGACGGAGATGTTGACGTCCGTTAAGAAAATGAGCATGTTGATTTTTAAAAGTTGCGAAGCGGAATAAGATTCCTATATAAAGTCACATTCGATTTTTCGTTAAAACTGCATGATGCACGAACATGCCGAGCAGAACCACGCGGTAACAGCAGAACCATGGCCGGTAGTCCCTGCCACAGTCTCTACCGCCATCCCAGCTCCTCTGGTTCTTTGCTCTTCCGCGAGAGACCGAGCGGCGGGCTGGAGTTGCGAATAGATTGTCAGATAAGCTCGCACTTATGGTGAAACTGTGCACTGATGCATGCAGCTATTTGAGTTGATATATTTCCCCAGCAAGGCAATTGGGTCGTTTACTCTTTTCACCGTTAAGCTGATAATGAAGTGGGAGCTGCGCTTTCTGGATTCATTGAGTTGAATTTACGCCCTGTGGTGTGTTCACTCAGGTGGAATGCAGAGTTGCGTTGTACTACTTCGATAATTGATTAATCCACCCCAAGTCGACATTGGTGTACCTCGGTCTGCTTAGTTAGCTTGGGGGTGTAAGTATGCCGGGAATTGCTCAGACAGCAAGAGCTTTGTATTAACAAAGTTCGTGCGTCTACACACTTTATAGCAGTGCACGCCGAAAGTCAAGGCACTGACATTTTCTAAATCAGCCCGGCGAATAACGAAGTACCGATAACCTTTGAACTCACAACGGTTTCAGACGCTAGGACATTAAACACGATGTTCACGAGCACTGAATCCCAGCGTGTATTTCATTTTCTGAACGTCATTGGCACCGACAGTCGGTGACAGCTTAAGAGTTCAGGGGAAGCTCCTCCCAGCTCTCTCCACTTTAGCAGAGCGAACGCTGGAGAGGAGGTCACCTGCTATCCAGCGTTCACTCTGCTAAAGTGGAAAGAGCTGGGAAGAGTTTCCTCTGAAATCTTAACCTGCCACCGACTATGCGTATACCTTGCACCTATACGTCAGATGATGTCGTCGAACACCGGTAACCACCATGCTGGTGGTTGAATCGACGACCATTCGCAGCGTGAGTCATGGCTGTAGCAATTGCTACGTATCCCGACGATCGTTCCGTCGGCATGCCCCGCGAAAAAGTAGCCGTCGAGTTAGAGAAAGTACCAGTGGCAGGGAAGGGATGCGGCCGCGCATTAAGTATGAACCTTAAAAGATATAAAAGCGCCGAAAACAATCAGGACGAATACGAAGTAGGACACACACTAGGCGCACTCGCAACTGTATGGTTTATTTGGAAAGAACACGCACATATATAGGCCCAATCACCAGTTAAGTCATCATCACATCGGCGTGCATTTTTGATAAAATCAAACTCTTTGTTTAAAAGGGCGATCTTTACCTTTATCACGAATTTTGAATGCCACATGCAGTTCTCTGCTTGTTTTCTCTGGGTGTAGCACGATTGCCCCACGTGCAGAATCCCTGTCGTAAAAACCCCTCTTCATTAGGGAGTTTTAGTAGACCGTGTTTCCCCCTCCGCTAAGCCCTCCGCAACGAAGAAACTGCCACTGCGCCTGCGTGCCGATGGCCTTGACTGTAGAGTTCCGGGTAGCGGAGGGGCTTAGCGAGACGGGGTGATTGAACCCCGCGTTCAATCACTCCGTCTCGTATTCCCAACGTGTCAAAAGCCCCGTCCCTCACTGTCCCCGTCCCACCCTCTTCGCGCTTCAGCCATCATTGTTCCCTGTCTTCTTAACCTGATCTGTTGAGGGTGTGCAAAGGCTCTTTAAAGTGAAAGGAACAACGGAATCGATAGCTTGCATGTGACGTCATTCGCGGCCATGTCAGTAATTTATGGACCGCGAGCGTTCGGTTCACCGAGGCTCTGGGTTCGCCGTGTTAGTTGCACACCGCAGAAGTTGTTGTTCGAAGAAACCATTAAGTAGAAATAACTGACCCTACCAAACAATGGCGACACTTAAATTGAACCGCCAAAACCTTAAAGGGATACTGAACCAAGGAATCTAGTGTCCATAATAAGTGGCGCACGTTCTTTCCACGAGCCATCAGCCGCCGGTGTGCGCGAGCACACACAAC